TGGTGTCTTTTGCACGACGGAAAACAGGGGACAACCAGACTAAAGGTCCTCGCCTTTACCGACGTTGACGCGGTTCTCTTCTTCTCCGTCTATGGCACACCCCCCTTGGACATCGTCCGCGAGATATACAATTGGCGGGAATACTGGATCTTCGCGTGGATGGCAACAGCCATCGCCATTTGCGTTGCGTTCGTAGTCCGCATCGCTCGCCGCCGCAACCTACGGAGCGCCTTGATCCTCAGCGCAGCTATCGGATTCGCTTCGGGAGCGGTGCTTACGTGCTGGCCACTTTTATATGCGGTCATGATCGCCCTCGGCTACGGAGCGATGTGGTCTGGAGCCCGCGTTTCCTACTGGCCAGCGGTGTACATCTCCGCATTCTTCCCACGAGGCGGATACTTCCCGCTGACTGGGATATCTGTCCTGGAAATGGACCAGATGGCAGCACTGCTCGCCGTGGTCGTCGTGGCGGTGATCCGTGGCTACAAGTTCATTTTGAGGCTCAAACGTTCTCGCAATGCGCCCGGCGACTCAGAATCTCATGCTTTGCTGCCTATAACCAATGCTGGGACAGAGTGACCAGTGGGTATTTGTTAATTCGTTGGAACCCAGCGTAAAATGTTTTCAGAGTGGATTGAAAGAACCTTGTGTGGACTCGGGGGAATGTAGGTATCAAATGGAAAGGGGCGAATCGAATAATGAGATATTTTGTCTTCGAATCTCATGACGTTCACAGTTCTGCCGGGGTATACGCTCAACGTAAACAGACTTCGAACATTATCTACGCGTATCAATCTGAATCACTGTCGGACCCATCGTCCCGGAGCCCCACTTCAATCATGATTTCTGCGAACGGCGACTCGACGCTGAATTGCGCAGGTGGAATGTTTCCTCCCTAAGAATGAGCCAAGCCGAACTCGTACAGGAGCGTCTTAACCCTGAATCGAGAAAAACGGCTCACGGAGCTGTAGAGCGGCGAGAATCGCAGCGGCGTACTTGTTGGCATGCGTAACCTTAGCAAAATGCGGGGCTCCCTGGATAGAAGTGACACTCACGTCAAGGCCCCCGTACTTCAGTGATTTGAGGAGCTCCTCAGTACATTCGCCGGTGGGATATGCGATATTGTACGAGCCGTGGATAATGGCGATAGGGACCCGGACGCGGGCGAGTTCCGCGGTCGCGGCACGCACCCCGTCGCTCAAGAACTTAACCGAGACCGTGTGGAAGGTCTCGAAGTACTTATAGGTGTCTGCTTTGGACAAAATTTTGGTTTTTGTTTGATAGCTAGTGCTGCAAATTTTCGACAATCACTGGTTGAACATTTTAAGTTATTCAGTGAAAAACTGAGAAGGTTTTCACTCCTCTTTCATTTTTAAGGTGAAATTTTTGAAACAAGTCAAAAGTGCTGAAAAAGTTTTAAAAATTTCACCTACTTTTTCAGTGAAAAACTTCTGTAAAATCCTGGATATTTTTCACCAATTTTTTCACTGAAAAACTTGAATTGCTCAACCAGTGAATAATCATCGTGTTTGGTGAGGGAGCGTGAAAACACTTACGACCAGAACAAAAACCAAATCGTCCCTAACGGAAAGCTAACAGGTCAAAACGAAAACATGCTGACTAATTGAAACTCATGTTTTGTTTTCGCGGTCACGGTTTCGTTTTCGCGATCAAAGTTTCCGAGAACAAATGGGATATGGGAAAACCGGGATCAAAACCGGCGGCATGGGCGGCAGATCAGCGGACTTTGAATTCTATGTAGTACCGTGTTCGGTCGCGCCTTTCCGCCTTTCCTTCTTGAACGTGCTGGCCTCCCCGCTGCATCGTGCAGCACTCCCTTTCCCAGTGCAACTATGCCCCTACTGGGACATGCACCAGCACACACCTGTGAATAAGGATGTCGGCATCTCACGGCAATTCAAACTTCCCGAATAGGGGCGATCGTTGCGCTCCGCTTCTAGACAAGGGTTTTGCGTACTGGAGGACGCCACAGAGGCGAGAGGAGCAGAGGCCGCATATTGATTTAGGCTTCGGCGGGCCCAGAGCCTCTCGGGCGGCCCGCCAATGTAATTTGTGTGGAATGATCCTGATAGGGTCCTATTATAGGGATACACTAAGCATTTGAAGAAAAATAGCTATGTACGGGTTGCAGGAGAACATAGCGAGCGGGGTGTTGCGTAGCTGGACGGGCAAGGCATTGAGACCGACAGAGGTGCAGGAAGGGAGGCGGGAGGCGGAACCGAATACAGCAGTAGTGTGAAATTTAAAGTCCGCTAACCCGCCGTCAATGCCGCCGGTTGTGATCCCGGTTTTGATCCCGGTTTTCCCATAACCCATACTTTTACAAGTTTCCGCACATCAAGGTTGTGTTTTTGCTTTGGGGAAATTCATTTTCGCAAAGCCAAGTTCAACTCTGCATTCAGAAGATTTGATTTCGCTCAGTAATTTCTTGTATCCCATCTCAAATCGAGTCATCATTGACAGCTGTCATGAATGACATGAAGTGTCAACAACACTCTTCGGTGTTGACCTATCCGTCCTGATGATACTGAGTACGACGTCAAGCTGGGGCCTCAGGCGGGTACAGCTCTCGTCGTCAATGAGCTGCGCCTGGGAGAAAACACTGACCAGATTTTTTAACACGATCTGCAGTTTCAGCTCCCTTGCAAAGAGATCTACATCCACTCGGACGAGTCGTTTTCCATTACTTCACAGACACCAGATCTCGTTCAAATGCTACACCGTCACAGATTTCCGCTTTCCGAATGAAATGTGGTTCCCCGGCGTCTATTTGTCGACGGACCAAATGTGGCGGGATTGCTGGGTGTATATCTCGTGCCACCCGGCGCCGGTTAATTTGCAGTTCAATTATTGTATGCTCACGCATCGGCGAGCCGCGGTTGTGCTCGGGCTGCCGCTGACATTCTTGGTGTGGCCGCTCGCATCCTTCATAGTGGGGCTACTAGCCTTCGTGATCCTTGAGACACAGAGGAGCGGGCACGTCGGTGGGGCGGCCGTGGTCATCACGGTCGTTGGGATCATCTTGGCTCTCATTTGTTTTGCCATGTGGAGCCTGTCCATACCCTGGGAGCATCGGAAGCCGAAGACGCAAAGTTTCATTAGGGGGAGGATTGTGTGGCGCTCTCAGGAATAAGTGGGGCCGCTTCCCGTAACCGCGCAAGATTTTCAGGCAGAAGAGCAGAACAGGATGTAAACCACCAGCTGAAATTGCAGATATTGCAGAAATTGGAGGAGGTGTTGAGCTTGGGGAAGGCTATATAACATTCTGGAGCTATACATGAGTTTTCTGCGACGCATTTCATCGCAAGTTGACACGTAGAAGTGGTTGTAGACCGAAGAACCGAAGTTGAACACAGTCACGTGATTTATGTTTATGTTCAACTTATTCAATTCCCCTCAGAAATCCCGATGATACGGGAAGTACGGCGTCGGGGATTGGCAGGAGGATCTTTATCGTTATAGGAATGCAAGGATTTACACCAGAGGTACAAGAAACGAAAATGCGAGGCGCCAAGACCAAGCGACGATTCTAATCTTCGAAAGCGATGTCTATGCATGGTGATGCTTTTTCTGACTGTCCAAAGCTGTTAAATGCGTTGGGAGAAAAATTGGTTCGATTTGCGCCCTACTAGTAGCGATGTTGAACATTGCCCAGGTAACCTGATGGAGAGCAAAGCATACAGTATTGGGTATGTAGTAAGGATAGTAATTACGTAACGAGGTATTGGGAAACAGGAACATCCGGCACTCAAAGTTGTGCAATCTACTCGTTCTCGACGAAAACCTGCAGGATGGTCGCGCGGACTTCGTAGTCGGAAATACCGCGGGCCGGTAAATTTGGAGTGTCTTCGCCCTCAATCTCATCCTCACTCATCTCATCGTCATAATCCTCGCATTCAACGACCCGAACCGCCTTGAAATCGGGGAAATCAAATCAAATTTAATGTAAAACACCTACATCCAGACGGACTTAAACAGCCCATGTCGGATTCTCTTCCGAGCTCCATGTAATCTCCCTCCCCCCCAACGACTCCTTACGGGCTTGTTCCTCCAACAACGCAACCGCCCAGGCCCCTTACCAGCCCACCCCGCGTGAAGAATCCAGCCTGCTTCCCGCGGTAGATCTGGGCTCTACATCCCTGGCAAGCTGACCAGGTAGATCGGGGGAGAGAACGACTGCGTGGGGCTCTAGTTGACCCGGGTACCACTGTCTCCCCATTCCAATCTAGGTCTCACAATTTGGAAGGGCGGACCAGTAAGTGGTCTGTAGATCTAGAAACAAGTCAATTTCGAGCGCGAGCGGCGGCCGGGAATGTCTCTCACGTATTCGGATTCCATGAATCGCTCGGGACAGGAGTGGCGGTCGGGACGGCATATGCACATCAAAGGTGAGATGTTTTCTCCGAGAATGGCGCCGTCTTGGGACGGATATCCCATGGTGGGCGCGTGCCGTTGATCGACAAACGACATCGGTGTGGCTTGCGCATATTCGATGGCACCTAGGACAGTATTCGGTCCAACGAAGTTGAGGCGGACGGCGGCAGCTTCTGCGTAGATGCCAATCTGCTCGTCCCATCGCCTGCACACCAATTCCTCAGGTAGCCAGACCAAGTGAGCGCCAAGAGACGTAGCCGAGGAGGTGGGATGCTCATGAGTGCATTGGTCCCGCCTAGTAAATACCAGCAACAAATTCAAAGTAAGGTGAAACACCAAGAATGTCGATCTCCTCCGGGTCGTTATTTCGATCCATATTAGATCGACGCAGCCGTATCAAAATAAGCGCGAGCGGGGCGAGGCTAGCAAGGCCGCGAATAATCCAAGCCGAACGCAAGCAGTACCAGCAGAGTGCAAGGCAGGTGAGTAGCGGGAGATGGGAAGAAGTTGGTCAGGTGGTCGGACTTGACGCCGATCGAACTTTATCTTCCCGACTTTTCCTTGAACGAGCTGATAAAATTAACCCACACACATCGCAAGGGAACTCGGACATGGTGTAAGGGGAACACAGTCTTCTACTTTCGAGCGGTGAATCCGAAAAAATTACAGTAAGAGGCAGTCCAGGGTTCGAATCCCTGTGTCTGAATGGGTCGGAATCGAAAGTTTTTTCTTTCTTTTTCTTTTGTCATTTTCCATTCCGATCGAACGCAGCGGTACTACCAGGAACCTTGCGCACTCGGTGTAGATTCAACCAATATCCATTTTTTTTTTTTGAAAAAGAAATAACAGCCCTACATACTTGCACTTCGCGACGCACTCTCTGCACTCTCCGCACTCTCCGCACTCTTCGCACTCTCCCTCTGCCCCCTGCTCGCCCGCACCTCTCCTTCCCCACCTACCTACCTCGCACCTACCGCACAATACCACCCACCCGACCCGACTCACACATCCCGCGGGATCACACATCAAACCCCCCGTTCGCCGTTCGCGTTCGTGCTCGTCATAGGCGATGCGCGTCGGCCGGGACTTGAGTTTGCGAGCGCGGCGAGTTGAGAAGGGCGGGGACGAATTTCCGAGCGCGGGTATTCAAGCCTCGAACTTGCGAGCGCGGAATTTGAACCGTGGATTCGAGATGCGCGTCGTCGATTTGCGAGCGCTCGACGACGCGCGCGCCAGCGGCGAAGGGGCGCGGGGCTGCATCTGGATCTGCGGGCGCGGGGCGCGGGATGTCGATTTGCCTGTACATCTATGGGCGCAGGGATTCGAGACGGTCACGGACTTGATTGTGATGGTGGCAGGAGTGCAGAGACGGCGTCGTGCACCAGCGGTTAGGCAAGCGCGGAGGGAAGGGACGGTGTGGCAGGGTCGGATGGCCGCCTTGCGGAAATCTCCCATTGTTGTGCTTTCATTCTTATTTTACGTTTGCCCCTATTTTACCTTACCTCATTTATTTGTATTGTAAATAACGCCACGTCGTGCAATTCTTACCATCGTACCACTATCTTCGCGGCCAGTGCAGGGCAAGCGCCCAGAGGCAGCATCGGAGCACCTCGCCCTTTCCTTCTAAATCGTCGCCAGTGGGCTTCCTAGCCACCAAACCTTCGAAATCACCTCTTACGACCTCACCCTCTCTGCACGTCATTTTCGGATATTTTTACTCTCTTTTGTCGCACTTTTCGCACTCAACGGCTCGAGACCACCTCACACGTTTTACCTTCGAAATCTACTCTACAACATACTGGACCGCCGACCCAATTAACGAACCTACGACTCGGGCATCTCCCTCTACCACAACGGGACGCGACGGGACGGAGTAGCCCGCGGGATGAGGGAGGGAGAGAGGAAGTGCATGACGGGCAAGCGAATGGCGCTGATGGCGGAAAAGGGATACGCGGCGGGTGACGGCGATGGGCGCTGGGACCCGGGGCCCGGTGCGTGGAGGTGATTGGGGCGACGCGTTGGGGGCGGGGTGCGCGTTGCGCGAGGCGTGGACGGCAGAGCGCGGAGAGGTAGAGGGAAGGATGCAGACCAGGATCAAGGGGAGGGAAAGAGGGATGAGGGTTGGGTACGTTAAGAGGAGGGAGAGGAGCAGGAAGGACGGGAGCAACGCGGGTGGATATGGACGCGTGACGCGGGGATGACGGGACGGGGGAAGAGGGCGACGACGTGGGTAGATGCGATGGAGGCGGGCTTAGCGCCGGCGTGTCGATGGTTGACGACGCGACAAGTGGGACATAGACGGTGCAATTACTGCTAATATTACAGGCCGTCCGGGCGAGACGAAAAGGGCGCGGGGAAGGAAAGAGCCGAACTTGAGCCGAACGCTGCTACACAGAAAGAAGAGGACGAAAAGAAAAAGTGAATGGATGGATGTGAATGCTGAATGAGTGCCATGGGGAGGCGAGGATGAAATCGATGAAAGAGGATGAGCGAGGATGAAGGAAGTGGGATGGCGCGGTCCACCCGCGCCGCGCCGGGAAGGCTCAAACCTTTGGTTGAATTTCAGAGCTAAGACAATCCGACTTGGAAGGGGAGAGGTGTTCGGGTATGGTGTAGCGGGAACACGGCCTCTCGTGTTATTGTTGATATGTGCGTCAGAGGCAGTTCAGGGTTCGAATCCCTGTGTCTGAATGGTCCATTGGTTGATCCTTTTTCTTTTCTTCTTACAGTTTCCTCCTTGAACGAGCTATAAAACCTTCCGTGGAAGCATGAGAAGAACACGACCTCTGATTATAGAAAATGGTGCACCAGTTTTCAGAGGTAGTCAGGGTTTGAATCCCTGTGTGTGAATGTAGCCTGGAAGTGAGTTTTTTGTGTTTGATTTCATTTTCTCATCCTCGCGCGCGGAACATCAAATTGAACGCACTGCTGTAACCCGTCGCCTGAAGTTTGAAATGTTGAAGCTTCTTCTCGACCATCCCCCCGAGGCGTGAAGAAAGACTACATGTGAGTACTCACTCCGAGTCATTCAAACAGTCGTCCAAGCCGATAAAACGAACCCAAGTACAGAGAAAGGAATTCAGACATGGTGTAGTGGGAACACAGCCTTTTATTCCAGATGAGAAGTATATCTCAGAGGCGGTCCAGGGTTGAATCCCTTGTGTCTGAATGTAACTTTCAAGTGAGTCTTTTGTCTTTGATTTCATTTTCTCAGCCCGCGCAAAATGTACGGTTGAACCCGCTGCTGAGGGTTGAAGCTTTGGGGAACGAGAACTCCGCTCCATTTACAATTATTTGAATGCTAATACTCAAACAAGCTGATAAAACTATCTGAATGTACTGAGAGGCAAATCAGACTTGGTGTAAGGGGAACACCGCCTCCTATACTGGGGAGTGGTAAATCAAAATTGAGAGGCAGTCCAGGGTTCGAATCCCTGTGTCTGAATAGGAAATCCAACTGCCGATTTTTTTCTCCTTTTCATTTCTCCTGCCTTCGAAATCGAAGCTTGAACCTCCAACTCAAGTCGACCATTCCTGCTCGCGCCTAGGCTCGAATATCTAAAAAATCAAGAACCTCGCTCAGGTTCGGCCCTGTCAATACTCAAACAAGCTCATAAGACCCCACGCGCCTTGGAAAGCACTCAGATATAGTGTAACGGGAACACAGCCTCTTCTCATATCTGAGATACTCCCACGTTTCAGAGGCAGTTCAGGTTTCGAATTCCTGTGTCTGAATTTGAGGATACAACCTTGTTTTTTTTTTCCCTTTTCCATTCCTATCGAACGCGGCGGTACTAACCCACCAGGAACCTCGCTCACTCGGTGCAAGTACATCCATTGTTTTTGTTGGAAAACTAACAACAGCGCTACCTCTACTTATACTTGCACCTCGTGACGCACTCTCCGCACCCGCCTCGCCTGCGCCCCTCCCTACCTACCTCGCACCTAACTCGCACCTACAGCACAACACAACCTAACCCAACCCAACCCACATATCCCGTGGGACCATAAACACTCGTTTGTTCGACCGTGCTCGTTCTCGTGGCCATGGACAGGATGTCGATTGAGAAGGGCTGGGACGTGCATTTGCGAGCGCGGGCATTCGGATACGGAGTTGCGAACGCGGGGCATGCAGATTCGAGATGTGGTGGATTTGCGAGTGCGCGGAGAAGGGGCTTCGGAATTGCACCTGCGCGCGCGGGGAGTCGAGCAAGCCTTGGCTTCGAGATTCGAGATGCCTGTCGAGTGCGAGCGCGTGGATTCGCATTTGCGAGCGCAGGCATTTGGAGTCTGGACATGTGTTTGCGAGCGCGGGGATTTTGGTGTGGATGCATTTGAGCTGGACTGGGACTTGGAGACAGGACGTGATGCGCATGGATTCGGAGTTGCGAGCACGGGGATTCGTGAGAGCGAGCACGGGGTATGCAGATTCAAGAAGCGGTGGATTCGGACGGCGAGCACGTCGATTTGGGAAGGGCTGGGACGTGGATTTGTGAGCACCGGGATTTGGATGTGGATTTGTGAGCGTGGGGTGAGCTTTGCACCCCGAATTATGGCGATAGCAGTATGAGGAAAACGGAGACAAGGGGGAAGCGGGATTCGAAAAACAGATATAGGGTCGAAAAGTTTTTTTCGACCCTCCGCCAGACTTCCCCCTCCCCTCCCCCCCAAATAGGGAAGGAGTTTCCCACCCCTAGCGGCGGGCCGTCTCTCCGGGTCATGTGCGGACCACCGCCACTGCATTGACAGCTCTTCGTGGTCCAACCAACTATGCGACTACTCACCTGTCTGGCACTCTATGTACTGTGAGGCCTTCTAGTTTACTGTTTCTACTCCCTACTCAATTCACAATGGGTGGGCTCTCTTTAAGCAAGTCAATGTTGAATTGAGCAAGAACTGTATGGCAGTCGAAGTGCACTTTTATTCGAGCGAAACTTTTTGGGGCTTTTTTCGGGTTTTGCGAAACTTTCATGGTGAATTTGATGGTTTGGCGAAACTTTTATTGGCCTTTGGCCGAACTCGACTCCCGAAACTTTTGTTGATTGCGCGCGAAACTTTTATTAGCCGAGGTCACACGAGCGAAACTTTTATTTGCCGGAGCACTTGGCGAAACTTTTACAAGCTTGCGAAACTTTTTCGCGGTTTTGGACTTGTCAAAATTTACACAATGTTACATAAGGTCAAAAATAATAATAATCTGTCAGGGCCTATACAAAGCTATAGCCTATGGTAGTCTCCCTCAATCGCCCAGCGCTGGCGGAAGCCCGTAACCAGTGCCCGGGTCCGCCTCCTCCGGCCCACGCTTCACACCCAAGGCCCACGGGACAACGACGACGATGATGCCCAGCAACTGGTAGACGCTCGGCATGTGTGCTACAATCTTCTCCATCTCTATCCCCGTGCATGTGGGCTCGGCGCTTGCAGTCGCGTTCCTCCCTATATACACGATCAGCGGCATTGCGGATGGGTGGTACAAACCGCAGCTCAACCACTGCACGGCCTCATCAGGCCCATCTACCGCAAGGCACTCGCCGCGTATGTGCGTAGGACCTCGGCGCGGATGGCATGGGCAGCATGATGACCATCGAGACCGTTGCGAGACGGAGGAGATTGCCGCAGGAGCATCCACCAGCCGCTCGCGGGCCTCGGGTGCGAAGCCCAGGCTGTTCATACAGGAGGGCGCTGTGTGCGCAGCGATTGCGGGAGACTAGGATAGCCGGGTAGTGTAATGAAGAGTTTTTTTTTTTTTTTTTTTTGGATATTTGTGTAAATTTTGACAAGTCCAAATGGCGAGAAAAAGTTTCGCAAGCCTGGACGTAAAAGTTTCGCAAGTCCTGCGTGACAAATGAAAGTTTCTCTCGCCGCTAATGAAAGTTTCGCGGGCGATCAACGTAGGTTTCGCGATTCGAGTTCCGTCGAACATATGTTTCGCAGAATTGTACTTTTTGCGAAACTTATTTAGCATGCCCAAAAGCCAATAAAAGCTTCACAAAAGCACAAAAAACGCGATATAAATTTCGCAAAACCCAAAAAAGTTTCGCTGGATTAAAAGTGCACTTGGACCGCCATAGAACTGAGGGTATGAATTGGCAGTGTTTCCCGGCCGTGAAGGCATGTCTACACTGTCCCGAAAAATTACACTGATAGTGTGAAGTAGTTTTAGTTTCTCATATGTATTATTGACACCAATGAATCTATTTCTTCACCCTTAGAGCTGGCACGCAAGTGTTTCAGAGAACTGATCTGTGCACGTGAGGGTCATCGGGAGTCCAAATCGGGACAACGAAGTAGCGCAACAGCATGCATGTCTTCTGGGTCCCAGATATCACTCTCCTATTCTGCCATGACATCTTACTATGCTCTGGGAGGCATTTTGAACCTCCCTCATACTACATGACAGAAGTTTTTTTCAGCCATCCTCGGGACTTCCCCCCCCTATATCCGAAATTTTAATGCCGAAACCCCCTTGAACGGAGATGACGTGCACGTACCACCACCGGTGGCAGGGGCGGAACGGGCGTTACGGGGAGGGCCGGGACCGTGTCGCGCGCAGCGGTAGCACCGTGCGCACCCACATCAGTAAAATGACAAAAATAGGCCGTGTCCCCCCTACACTACATCTCACAGAAGGCAACCGCCACCGCTTATTTTCTATAAGCGAGAGTGGCTTATGGGCCGCTTATGAGCGGCTTAACCCATCAGCCGTGATGGGACTGCTTTCGGTGAGGGTTCGAATCCTGAGGAGAGCAATCTTTCTGTAAATCAATGAAAATCATTCATTTATTGAAGGAGTGTTTCACAACACTGGAAAATTTTCTTGGGAGGTTTATATAGGTTTCGAGAACATCCAGGCCCATATAGAATATCTACGTGGATTTTATTATGGAAGGCTCTTTTGCACCTCTTGTGCTGCATTTGAAGGAGATAGGTTGTGGGGGCGGTGTCCATGTGTTGGTAACTGGGCATGAGAATATGGGGTTTTGTCTGGTGTAAGATTATAGTTAATGAAAGTATGGAGGAATGCAGAAGTACTGATGATGAAAGAAATAAAATAGGAAGGGAAAATCACTGGGGCCACTAGAACCGTGCTATTGCCTCAGCAGACTCCCCGATGCTCTCAAGGATTTTGGGATGGGAAAGTGGAGGGATATGTAGAGGACCCTGAATAGTCCCACTGACCTCGATGCATCATGCAGCGGTTGTCAATATGTTACCGGTCACCGAGGGCCTTGAATACTCAACTGTTTTATTCGGTTGCAGAAACGAAAATTCGAATTTTTTCTACGGCCCCCGGTGATCCATTTGATGCCAGTTTGTTGGAAGATGCAGGCCAATCGGGTCGGTTTCTGCGGGCCATTCATTCCTCTGAGCAATTTTGGTGTTCTTTCGAGCCGAAATTTGAGCTGAATACTCGCCAGATGAATGCTGAAAATAGTGAGTACAGGTCTCAAGCACAGTTGAATTGATAGGAAATGAATAATTATGGTCACTGGTCACACCTGAATACTTGGTTAAAATAGTACAGTATAGGAGATGCAAAAAAGATCTTCCCTGATTTTGATAACGGTGGACAATATGCCCAGCCATTTTTACAAGCTCTCAAAACACTAAAGCAAACATTACCTGGCTGTTACAGACACTCCTTCATTAAATCAATATTTTTTCACCCATGTTCAAAAAGATTGCACTCTCAGGATTCGAACCCTCACCAAAAGTAGTCCCATCACGGCTGATGGGATAAGCTGCTCATAAGCGGCTCATAAGCCACTCTCGCTTATAGAAAATAAGCGGTGGCGGTTGCCTCCTGTGAGATGTAGTGTAGGGGGGACACGGCCAATTTATTGTTACTGTTGATTACATTTTTATAAGAGGCAGTCCAGGGTTCGAATCGGGCAGGGCGAAAGTGACATTTCGACATTACAAGTGCCGCTGACTGCCGCTGCAAAATTGAAATTGCCGCTGCATGCGGCAATACTGCCGCAACATGTCACACTGCCGCTGTGTCACGCCTGAACTGCCGCACGCATTGCCGCACGTAGCGACAGTCCCTCCGGCACTGGTGCTGTACTCGCCGCTATAAATTCTTACAGTATGGGAGATCCTCGTGTCCAGCCCCAGCCCCTCTAGCACTACATGACTACGACTCCATGCATCGCTACAGCAGCATGAGGTAATACTATCTGTTCAATTCTCCCAGATGTTTGTCCCAGTCTGCCATAATACAACTCTGAGAAACAATCCTATTCCTTCGTCTACGTTGTTAAATGATACCTTGAATCTGCCGTCGTCCATTACCCTGTCAGTCTGCGGGCCAAATCAACTATTGACAGTTATTCCCCAGCGGCCCTTCAACTCTGAATTACATTTCGGTCAGCATGAAGATATATCTCTCTGGTGTTCTCGGCGTTATTGAACGACACATAATATCCACACAGCCGACTCATT